AGAATTATATGCGAACGTTTTAATGAAAAAAATAATGTTTTTATGCACAAAAAAAGCGATCGCGGCAAACCCGGAACAAGCTATTATCATGAATTGCACATTATAGGACACATCTGCAGAGGATCTGATTATGGATATAGGTTCAGTATATACATAAGTAACTCAGAGCGGATGTTCAGAATTCTTTGTTCAGTTTTCATGTAGTTCCAGAGCCTAATAGAGGCTTGATTCAGAGGTTCCGCAAAAACAAACAACTGAGCATGCGCGCAGCTGCGAGCATCAGCGCTGATGATTGACAGCCCTTGGCATGACTCGATTGGTTAACCTCGACGGCATCGTGGATTTTGAGCTATAGCTAAGAGAAGGGAAGGAGGGACTTGCCGTAATATTAGAATTAATAAAATGATTTATTTTATATCAACATTTAAGGCCAGGAGTTAAAATGTGTAGTGTAGTTAGAGTTACAGACTATTACTTTAAGGTCTGGATTTGCTCCATTGACTCCGTTAACAGGTGGGAGGGGTCAACTCCTTTTGCAGATTGAAACGATTGGATCTGAGTTTACTGTGACGTATGTAATGAGCCCGAGTGAGTGAGTTGTCCGCATTTAGCCTAGCTTTAGCCATCTCCTTTGCCGCTAACGGAGCCCGTGGGGAGTAGCGCCACAATCTTTGCCAGCGATTACAATTGCTAAACATTCCTCTTGCTCCGGCTTCAGTTTCTTGATAGAATCAGACCGGATAACTTTACTATCGCATTCTTCGCCAAACTACAACCTGCCCGTTCGGCGCAAACTCTTGACGTCACCCACATCTAACTACAACACCCGCCTCCCGCGCTCTCTGATTGGTCGGATGGAATTCAACCGATTGTTATTGCAAACACAGGGACCAGACCCAGACGTTAAACCCGACCTCCAGGTTTTTAAATATTTTAGTTTTAACTGTAAAGAGTCAAAACTGTTTCTGACTGTTTGTGTTTGCCACTTTTGTGCGATGACTAAAATTATACATCCGGGTATTTGATGTTGAAGCATACTAAACAAAAAAGCATACTAAAAAGTATAGTTTGGACATAAAATATTGAGGAAATACTATAAAATATTCACTCAGCAGGACCAGGTTTGACCTTCCAAAAAGCTGTTAAAGTGCTTTTCTATGTCCAGCTGAGTTGAACTAACAGCACAGAGACACTGGGAGTGAACCCTCAGCTCATCTTTCTGTTTTCTTCTTCATTTTACCAGGTACAAATGATACCGCAGTACAATAAAACACAGTATTTACCATGAAGTGGCGGCCTCTAACCTCCAGAGAAATCAATGTACCATGTATGTGATCATCTACACGGTGGTTGAGTGGTTAGCAAGAAGGTCCTGGGGTCGAATCCTGGTCGGAACAGGGCCTTTCTGAGTGAAGCTTGCATGTTCTCCTCCAGGTGCTCCAGTTTCCCTGCCACTAAAAAACATGTACGGTAGGTTAAATCCTCAGGCTCTGGTCCAGACCCAGAGCATTATAGGTTCCCGGGCGCTGTTGTTACAGTAGCTACAGCTCTTGATGTAAACCCAAATGGTATCAGGGTCAAATGCAGTGGATGAATTTCCCTACGGGGATAAAAAAAAAAAACCTTTACCTGTACAGTGCAGTATTCTGTATTATAATTCAGTGAAAGCGAGTTCAAACCTCCTCCTGGAAGTAAACAGAAAAAGTGAAAGAGATAAAAGTGAGGGCGACAGTAGCTCAGTTGGTACTGGTCTGTGGACCTAATGTTCGTGGGTTCGATCCCACCACGACCCATGTCACCTGCTCCCACTGATGTCTGCTGTCGTCGTGTCCCTGGGCAAGACACTTAACCCCACATTGCCTGAAGTCCCTGGTGAAAGATCAAGGCCGTATCTGTGTTGAAGGAGCAGCCATCTTCCTGTGGACCCACCACCTGCAGTAGGATCAGCGAGGGACTGGTGCTGTGTGAATTGGGTGCAGCTCTGATTGCCACCCCCCGACCCAGAAATGGATGATAAAGGGATGAAAATGAATAAATGAATAAGACATGATGTAATAATAGCTGGAAGTGAAGCACAAGCTGTGGGTCCATGAGGTCGTGTTGTCTGCAGTAAACTTGGTCTTGTTCTAAGTCCTGCTGCTAACATTTTTTGTGTGGTGGATTTTATATTTCTTACTGGTGTCTGTCAATTCTAGTAAAAGCATATTCTTTTTCTTTCAATCATGATTTTGAGATTTTTTTTTTTATATCAAGATGCAGTCAATGATTTATCCAAACGCAATTTAAAAAACTGTGGGGAACGCCCCTAAACCCCAAAAATACTGAAGTTATCATGTGTTTTCAAATAGGAATGGACCAGATGTAGCTGCAAAAAATAAATCATAAATATCATGGAACAGACGATAGAACCAAATTCCAATATATTTCTAAATCATTTGATGGGATTCCGAAAAAAGTCTGTCAAGTAGAAGACATTTGGTTCTCATCTATGTAACTTATTGCCCCATTTTAACCAAAAACACTGCACTATCTGCACAATCAGAGAGCCCCCGCTCTCTGAGGCGGGTGTTGTAGGTCGGTGTCGGTGAAGTCAAGAGTTTGTGCTGAATTTGCTGGTTGTAGTTTGTCGGAAAATGCGATAGTAAAATAATCTTTTCTGGTTAAATCCAAATATCAAGAAACTGAACCCAGAGCAAGAGGAATTTTAGTAAATGTCAATTAAACAAATATGTTGTGGCTCTACTCCCCACGGGCTCCATTAGTGGCAAAGGAGATGGCTAAAGCTAGGCTAAATGCTAAAGCTAGGCTAAATGCTAATTACCTCACTCACTCGGGCTCATTACATACGTCACAGTAAACTCAGATCCAATGGTTTCAATCTGCAAAAGGAGTTAACCCCTCCCACCTGTTAACGGAGTCAATGGAGCAAATCCAGACCTTGGTACAAATGAAATGAGTGCTATGGTATGGTAAGACCAGGCTACCTTTGATCATGTTTAGGGGGATTCATGTAATATCCCAGTTTAATAGTAAAATTACAATTATCTTGGAGAGAATTTTACTCAAATTATTCCATGACCAAGACTGTTTCAATTGTTACAAATTGGGCAGTATGGTGACTTTTCAGCAAGAAGGTTCTGGGTTTGAATCCCGGTTGGACCAGGGCTTTTCTGATTGGAGTTTGTGTGTTCTCCCCGTGTCTGAGTAGGTTTCCTCTGGCTGCTCCGGTTTCTCCTACCACTAAAAAACATGTGCAATTTTCTCTGTGTGGAGCGAGAGAGAAATGCCAACAATTGTAAAGTGCTTTTTGACTCTGTAAAAGGTGCTATGTAAATAAACATTACTTACTTACCCACTTTGATCCATAGTACGTGTGTGTGTGTGTGTGACAAGATCAATTACAGCTGAAATATAGTATATCATTAAATGGGCGGCTGCAGCTCCCACTGTTTGTGTAATCTCAGTCTGGAACATCCTGGTTTAGCTGTGTTTTGTTTGTTTTTTATTTAGAATATAACAGAACTCGATGGAGCAAATCCAGACCTTAGTTCACAATCTTGACAAAAAATACATGTGCCAAATAAAACCAAGTCATGTTATTAATATATTCGATAAGGACAAGAGCCTCTCCTTCATTCGAAGTCTAGTCTAAAAACAAATTTTTACGCCTTGGCTTTTAACACCAATTGAGTTTTACCATTTTACTTTTACATTTTTATGCTGTTTTCTTTTACTTTTTTATCTTTCATAAGATTGACATTGACTGATCAATTGCTCCCAGTAATCCATTGTTTCTTCATTCACAAATACTGAAGCTCCATGACTTGGAACTTCAGTATTTGTTCAACGGTTCAGGTATGGAGTTAAAAATAAGAAAATCCCTCAGTCTGTACAGGTTATGTTTACTGAGAGGCAAAGTCAATATCATTTGAGGGTAGTTTGTATGATTAATAGACCACATGTAAGAAAGACTTTAAGGGAACATTTTATACCCAGTAAAGAAGTGATACATTGTTTCAGTTCTTTAAAAAATTCAAGAAAATACTTATGGAAAAATATTTGCCAGTTTGACAATCAGAAATGTGTTGTGTATTGTATCTTGTTTAGTGTGATTCATTATAGGACGGATGTTTGTTAGTGTGCTGAATTTGAGTTTATAAGGTTGATAAGGGCAGGCACAATTCTTGGGTTTCATTAAACTGGCCAGTAGGAGACAAATGAGCCGAGATGGGACAGTTTTACTCCCATTGAAAACCATGTAAAGTCTGTTTTGGAGTCAAAAGAATCATTTTTATTGCCACGTAAGTAAGTAAGTAATTCTAAGGGAGTAGTAAAAAATATATCTCAAAAGAGTGTTGATTTCGGGCATTTTTTGAGAAAAAAACAGAAGAAATGTCTGCGTTTCATTGGGGTGGCCTGCAGGGGGCGCTTATCTGGGAAAGCCTTGATCAACCTTGCTCGCCTCATTCCAGTGATTTTTTCAAAGTGTCCTCCTTTAAATGAGACCAGAGTTGGAACACGGAAGAAACTCTGGTCTTTCTCTCTATTCTCGCGGTTGCTACAAGTGTACACCGCACAAAAAGATGGCATTTTGAATGCGCTTCTTCTTCTACTCTCGCCGTGTATAAACCGTATAAACCCGGCAGACTGCACCGCCAGGGTACGTCACGTCCTGTCCTACGTTTGTTATTCACGCCACTGCCCTGACATCATATGAAACCCAAGAATAAGCTTTGGCTTCGGCCTGTGCCTGGTCATGCTCAGACTTAATTAGGTTATTGTTTTTTTTTTTATTTACTGTAAACTGGAATGACTGTGAATGACCAAACGACAATCAATGAAAATGAAAATGAAATGAACATTGACATTTGCTTTCATTGTCAGGAGAGACTATATGAGTGATGTACTGTCTATTTAAATATTTGTAACCCCTTTGTTAAGGTTTCTCTCTGCTCTCACTGATCACAAATATTTACATTGAAGTGTGTTGTGTTTTCCAGAGTGCACATTTGGCCGTGATTGACGCCCTGATGATGGCGTACACCGTGGACACCGTGAGTGTGGGAAAAGTCACGTCCTGCATCCGACAGTTTTCCGCATCTGAGTCTGAAGAGGAAACACCATACGACACCGAGGACGCGGTCACAACGTGGATCAACAAGGTATAGATCTGTGAGAATATTAGGTATAACAACATAAAGAACCCTCCAGGCCCTGAGGATTCCCCTTCACAATCTGTCATCATTAAAGGGTCCTAATCTGTTATTAAAGGACCCTAATCTGTCATAATAATAAACTGCTCTTTTCCATTACTTCTTTAACTGATAACAGTAGTTCAGAGATATTTGAATTTATAAATTACTTTTCCAGCCCCTAAATCTTGTTATTGTTTTTATTTCGATGTCCCACCCTCCACCGTTTCACCAATCAGAAAGTCTGTGATCCAGGCGCCAGAACTCACCGCGTGGAGCTAATCTCACTGGTAAAGTACCATGTGGTGCAGAACAAAAAAAGGTTCTCAAATCATTAACAACAAAACAACAAATAAAACCAGGATTTCTATCTTTGTGAAAAAGGTGTTGGTTATAGATTTGTTGTTGAAAAAACTCTTGTCTATTCAGCTGCGATGGTCCCAGCTGGATTCGTCTGCATATCTGGCAACCTGAGTCAGGAAGAGTGGGAGAGGCTGCAGTACCACTTTTGACCACATTTTTACATATTTCGCCTACAGCGAGTAACTTTGTAGCTGAGAGGTAGTTATTATTACTATTTACTATTATTCTAAATTTATGCATTTTTAATTTGTATTTTTAGACCATCTTATTTGATTAACAGACATTTTATATTAATTAATCTTGACCTTGATACAATATTTATTTTACTGCAAATATCTTAAGGCACCCATTCTTTTCAGACATTTGAAGTGAAATTTACAAAATGTGAAGCCTTGAAACTTAAACTCCCAAAATCATTAACAAAATGAATAAAAAAAATGAATATAATAAAAGATTTTGATACCCTAATTTATACTCCTTCATTTCATTATGCATTGATGTAAAATGAGTAAATAAGGTAAAGTCAAACCAAAACACAAAACAAAATAAGCATAATGTAACGTAATCCTCTTTTAGTGTTTTTTTTTTTAAATCTTAGTGTCAGCTCGTGTTGTCTAAAGAGGAAATGCTGACGGGACTCCACACAAATCCAGTGAGCCTGGTTAGTTTACATTCCTCTGGTGGGAATCCTTCCAAACTCATTCCACTGAACATAACGCCACAAAGCCTCCAGAAATGTGGCTGTTCTGCCCTGGACTCACATGAATCTGTAGTGTCCTTTTTGAAGCGGCTGCAGGACGAAAAACATGGCGTTTTAAAGGTCACGGAGCAAATCTACAAACTACTATTGACGTAATATTGAGATACTTACATTAAAACAAGAGGCTGAAAACCTACTTTTGTGTTTTGTTTTGTTTATGATGGAATTTATAAAACCAGAGATGAAGAGATTCTAAAAGGATTCGGGAAAAGCACAGTTGTTTTTTTTCCATTGATTTCAAACTAGTTTTAGTTTTGATTAGTGGCTGATTAGTTATGGTGTGGACTTTTTGATGACTTTTCCTGGTTATATTTTGATATATTGGTTCTTCCTGCCCTCGTGTGTTTCACCTGCGTGTCCCTGTGTGTACTTATCCCTGTGCTCCTCTCCTTTTGTCGTTGGTCCATTGTGATTTTGTCGGTTTCGTCCTGGTTTGAGTTTTTAGTTCTGTATCCTGGATTTTGTTTTTTCTTAATTAAATCTTCCTCCTCCTCACTGGTCCTCCTGGTCCTCACTGATCCTCCTGGTCCTCACTGGTCCTCCTGGTCCTCACTGATACTCCTGATCCTCCTGGGCCTCACTGATCCTCCTGGTCCTCACTGGTCCTCCTGGTCCTCACTGATACTCCTGATCCTCCTGGTCCTCACTGATCCTCCTGATCCTCCTGGGCTTCACTGATCCTCCTGGTCCTCACTGAACCTCCTGATCCTCATGGGCCTCACTGATCCTCCTGATCCTCCTGGTCCTCACTGATCCTCCTGATCCTCCTGGTCCTTACTGATCCTCCTGGTCCTCACTGACGTCCTTCAGGTGCTGAGTCCACAGGAGGCTGCTCTGTCGATGATAGCACAGCCATGATCTTTCACTGGGGGCTTCAAGCAATGTGGGGTTAAGTGTCTTGCCCAAGGACAGAATGACAGCAGACATCAGTGGGAGTCGGTGGAGATCGTCTCGGGGATGGATTGAACCCGTGACCTTCTGACTCAAATGCCAATGTTCTACAACTGATCCACTGTTGCCCCCACATTTTAAGATTTATGCAGCTAAAATCTAGAACAGTCTTCCTGAAAATGTGAGACAGGCGTCTTCTCTGACAAAGTTCAAATCCAGGTTAAAAACAGTTCTGTTTCTGCCACAACTTTTCATCTTTGTTCTTTTTTACTTACGGCAAATAGAAATTACACAAATCAAGTAGTATGTATTATTATTATCATTATTATGTTCTTCTTTCAGGTAAACGAGTATCTGAGAGACATTTTGGTCCAGGAGCAGAAAATGGTGGACACTGAAAACACAGATCCAGCCGGAGCTAATCGGGTAAATACACTTTTGTATTTTCTTTTCCTTTAAAAGTGCAGTAAAGAATTCCGGTTAGCTTAGCATTAGCGTCCGAGTAGCACTGAAAACCCAACCCCAGCACATGAACGCTGTTTCTGTAATAACGCAGTCTGTGACGAAGCTTGAAATGTGGAAGTATTAAACTACATTAGGCTCAAGTCTGTGATTGATTAGCTGCTATCCTTGACACATGCTAGCTTCTCCTAACAAACTAGCAATTAGCAAAACACGACTGCCGTAGCATCACAGAGCCCTGGCTGCGTCCCGAGTCTTCTTATACGCCTTTTCCTCTGATGTTCTCTTCTTTGCCACAAGAGGGCAAGTTTGAAGATAAACTAAAGACAATGGGCAGTATTAAAAAGATTTAGCCCCAGCTTCTTTCCACCTGTGGTCCTTCACAATACAATCATAAAACTTACATATTAATATACAGTTCAAATAACTGTAACTGTAACTAATAACTTAGAGTGGCAAACATGAAATTGTCACTTTGGGGTTTTTTTGTTCCGCCATTTTAGGAGTTGTTGAAAAGCCGGCTCCAAGATATTTATGATTTATTTTTAGAGGCTACATCTGGTTCATTCCTTTTTGAAAACACATGATGACTTCACTACTTTTGGGGGTTTAAGGACGTGAATAACCGTGTGAAGTGTAGGGGGACGACTGATTATTGGTACTGATGATTTTTTTTTCTGTAAAATCAATAGTCTAGCCCCACCTACTGGTCAAAGGGTATTGAGTTTAGTTTAGTCTTCTACTTATATTAGGACAGTTTATTCGAGACATGTTCAACCATATGAGCCAACTCAGACTCTGAGGAGCACAGGGACTGGCCTCTTACTGGGACTCTAAGGAGCACAGGGACTGGCCTCTTACTGGGACTCTAAGGAGCACAGGGACTGGCCTCTTACTGGGACTCTGAGGAGCACAGGGACTGGCCTCTTACTGGGACTCTGAGGAGCACAGGGACTGGCCTCTTACTGGGACTCTAAGGAGCACAGGGACTGGCCTCTTACTGGGACTCTGAGGAGCACAGGGACTGGCCTCTTACTGGGACTCTGAGGAGCACAGGGACTGGCCTCTTACTGGGACTCTGAGGAGCACAGGGACTGGCCTCTTACTGGGACTCTAAGGAGCACAGGGACTGGCCTCTTACTGGGACTCTGAGGAGCACAGGGACTGGCCTCTTACTGGGACTCTGAGGAGCACAGGGACTGGCCTCTTACTGGGACTCTGAGGAGCACAGGGACTGGCCTCTTACTGGGACTCAGAGGAAAAACATGATAACTTCACTACCTTTGGGCGTTTAGGGATGTTTCCCACAGTATTTTAAATAATTGCGTCGGGATAAATCATTGACTGTCTCTTTAAGCCCCAGTGTCTTTCTCTCTCCGTTACTTTGCAGCCCTTTGCATGGTCTCCCCAATAACACAAAGGGTAATTTCCTTCGTTCTGCAAGAGATAAAGAGGCATCACTTCATATTCATCTCGTTTATCCACCATGCAGACTTTACAAGCTCCTCGTGTGCCTTAGCTAATAGTTCACAGCTTAATTAACCCGGTGTTAGCTCAGTCCTGCTTATACTTGTTCTTGTACTGTATGGTGTTGCATAAGTCACTCTGCTCGGGGCAGTTCTAATGTCATATGACAGGCTGCTCTGCTGAGTGTGGCCACGTGTATAGATCTAGCAGCTGGAGTGAACTATTTCAATTATTCACTGGTCTGGACTAAAGGTAGAAGCACTTTGGTGATGCAGGGCAGAACATAGCAGCCTTTACCGAGGGTTGAACGCAAGTTTTTTAATGTACTTTTTTAGTTTAAACTGAGGGAGATGCCACACTTAAAGCATGATGTATGATAATGTGAGGCCTATGGGGGCAAATAAGAAAGCGTTGTATATGAAGTCTGTAATGCTACGGCAGTCGGGTTTTGCTAATTGCTAGTTTGTGAGGAGAAGCTAGCACTTGTCCAGTATAGCGGCTAATCACTCTCAGACTTGAGTCCTAATGTATTGTAATTAGTTATTTGTTTTGTGTTTGTATTTTCCATCAAAGTTGTGTATTTGCAAAGATTTTCCCAGCCCTATTTGTATTGTGAATTATATCATTATCGTGATTTTTCCTTCTCATACAATGCAAAAAGGTTTGTAAACCATAGTGTACATGAAAAAGAAAGTCATCATGAGACAGAGCTCCCTCCATGGTCCATACATGGTTCATACATGGTCCATATATCTCATCCCCCTCTTCTTCTTCTTCAGTTTGACAGCACATAGAGATGAGCAGGGGTCAGACCATATTATTATAGATCCAACTTCCCGTTTTCCCCAGGGTTGGGCGGTAACAGCGGTATTGGGGTCGCTGCCAAACCAGGACAAAGAGGAAAATCTATGAAAATGCTGAGCTGAAGGTTTCCTGGACATGTCTGGGAGGATATTATCTTGAATACAGCCTCTTTAGTAAACTTAAAACACTCTTTAAAAAGGCAAGACATCATTTTGATCAGTTACATTGAAATTAGTTTAAAAGTACATTTCAGGATTTAGACTCAAAAGACAGTTTAAACACCAGGGTTAATTCTAGAGCAGGGATGTCAAAGTCAAATACATCAGAGGCCAAAAAAACTAATTGATTGAAGCCGATGGTCGGACTAGCTTAAAGTTTATTAAAATATATGAAAATGATGCACATAACCTGTTGAACCAAGACCTCACACAGTGGGCCGTATTTTATTTCATGATTAAATGAATAATCCAATATTTTTCTATGGCTCCGTCTGTCATTTCAAGTGAAAACATTTGTCAACAATCTGAAAAACAGATTTCTTTCAAAGATAAAACCTGAACATAAAAAGAATAATCCAATATTTTATTATGGCTCTGTGCGGGCAGTTTTAATAGTAATCACATATCATCCCGGGGGCCAAGGTAATTAATTTGCAGGCCGGATCTGGCCCCCGGGCCTTGACTTTGACACCCATGTTCTAGAGCAGGCGTGTCAAACTCAGGCCGTGAGCCAAACTCGGCCCGCAAGACCATTTATAGTGGCCTTTGTATTATATTGTAAATTAAAGTTTATTTTCTCAGGAAAAACGATCATATATTTTATTCAGTTAAAGTTGTAGTTTGAGTTAAAATCAAACCAACCAGAAATTAATATCCAAACTCATGTTCAAAAATATGTGGGACAAATAAAGGATCTCTTAATCCCAATCTTAATCTTAATCGTAAAAATAAATTATGATAATAAAAGAAAACCACTTGGTCCCAAACAGCTCTTGCGTTTTTAAATTTGGCCCTCGACGAAGATGAGTTTGACATCCCTGTTCTAGAGTTTTCCCTTAAAAAGCCTAAAAAGCCTAAAATGTAATCCTATATTATAATGTAACTAGGTCTAGGTATTACTTTACTGGTAGACTGTTTTTATTCACAGATGTATAAGTATTAGTATATTATGATTGTACTCTTTCAAGTTGCTGCCTTTGATTCAAGTTTAACCAAAGACATATTTAAGAGACTTTGATGATTTTTCCAAGAGAAGAATTAACACAGCTCTCTTTCTCCACAATCAGCTTACAACGTTAGCTCATAGTAACCTGTTTGTTTTGTTCTTAAACATAGACATAAAACCAAACACATACCCTTTGCTGTCTCCATCTCCATCTTATGACTGCTTTCTAAACTTGTGCATCTCCCATGACCAAAGAGGAACTATAGAGCTCTTAACTCATTAACTGCCATTGACGGATTTGTCTGAGACGGGGATTTCTGTCAAACTTCCCTCTATTCAACTGAAGATTGCAGGAGAACAAAACTAGCTGGAAACAAACTTATTTTTGTTGATGAAAGTAGACAGTCCAGTCTTTCAGAATCTGGTTTCATATTTCATATATTCTGTGGGTCTTGAGAATCAGTGAAATCATCAAAAACGGCTGGCAGTCAATGTGAACTTAAAGAGCGACTAAACGCCAAATCAACTTTTTTCAACTCATAAACTCCATAAATATGTTTATTGTAGTGCTCTCTACATATCCTGGTCATTTCTTTGACATATTAGTTCAAATTAGATAAAATATCATTTTTGAGCCAAAAAACGTCTGTGTGGCGCCCCCACAACCTTTTTGGTGGTACTGCATTTTAATTTGGTCCTGGCCTCTCCATTGACTCTGAAGTTCTCTATGACATCAGTTGTTTTGTGTGACGTCAGTCTGTCAGAGCCAGTGATATAAACCCATCCAACTCTCACACACGCCCCAGCTGCAGTTTGGAGTATTCTGGCGCCATCTAGTGGATTAAAATTAAATGACATGAGTGATTCTGAGATTATTGAGTGTGATTAGGTTCAGGTGTGTAGCTTTACAATTATCTTAGTGTGTAAACAAGGGTGGAATGAGACTTTCTGGTCTGTAAACTATTGCTTTAAGCAGCAATGACAACTGTCTGTTTTTTTTTGTGTGACAAGTGAGTTGTCAATCACAGCCCAGACCACGCCCAACTCTAAGCCCCCCTTATTGTCCCTTAGTCCTCCAGGCAACGCCCTTTTTAGAGAACATTTTCAAATCTTCATGTGGGCGGGGTAAGGCTGGGCACAGGTGTTTAGTCGCTCTTTAAACCCTTTGTTCTGTGTCTGTGGCCTGTGTTTTGCATTCCAAACTAATATTGTCCAAATGTTGTGTTTCTTCTTTTGCTTTTGCTCCTGCAGTCTCCAACCAAGTGGTACATGAAGCTTGTGCCTGTAAGTCCTCTAATAAACGCTTTGCTGTTTTTCTGTGAACACATAACCACCAGTTTGTGTTTCGTGCCTGCCCTTAGCATTAGCTCTGTAAAAACAGTCATAGAATTGTGTTTGTGAAAGATTCATAGTTTAAAAAAAATTGCTCTATCCCAAAGAGGAGAATTTTTTTCATTTCCATGTAAGTAAATAACAGAGGACAAAAGACAAACTGTATTTTTCCCCTCTATGACCCAGGCTCGCTACAGGAAAGAGCAAAGTCCCTCACAGCCGGTTCCATGGATCCCTCCGGTGGACAATCTGCTCAAGGACAGCAGCGATGGCTCCGCTCTGGCCGCTCTGCTGCACTTCTACTGCCCTCAGACGCTGCCCCTCGATGGTGAGGACGCCATAATATTAAATGAATCTGATGAAGAATAAAACTATATTATTCATCATATTACATTTACTTTCCTTTCTTGCTGTGAAGTATAATAATAATAATAATAATAATAATAATAATGCATCGGTTTTATATAGCGCTTTTTTGGACACTCAAAGACGCTTCACATGTCATTATTCTTTCACAAACATGGTGGTGATAAACTACTACTGTAGCCACAGCTGCCCTGGGGCACACTGACAGAAGCGAGGCAACCAGTCTGTGCCATCAACCCCTCCCACCAACCATTCACACACACACTAGACTCATAATAATGTAGGTGAAGTGTCTTGCCTAAGGACACAACCACAGTTTGGCACTTTATAGCCGCAGCCGCCCTGGTGTTCCCAGAGGTTAAGTGTCTTGCTCAAGGACACAACAACAGCAGACATCAGTGAGAGTAGGTGGAGAAAGGTCTTGTGGTGGACTCAAACCCACGACCTTCAGGCTTAAAGGCCAATGCTCTACACCAGTGTCTCCCAAAGTGGGATCCGTGTCAGATTTTGAAGGGGGTCGCGGTGTTACTGACTTTGGGAATGGCTGCTCTACCAACTGAGCCACTGTTGCCACAGTATATCAGTAAAAACATGATAGACATTAAAAAACACTAAAATACAAATGCATGTAGTGTTTTGGCACCTTCAACATGCATGTGAAATCCAGATACTGTCAGACCACAGAAGCTAAGCAGGGCCTGGTTAGTGCTGTGATGGGAGACCTCTGGGAACACCAGGTGCCACAGTAGGGCAGCTGTAAAGTGCCAAACTGTCGTAATGATTCAAAATGGTTCATTTTGTCTTAAGTTAAAAATGCTTTTTATGGTTCCTTTTAGTAAATAAATATATAAACCTAAACCATGACATTTTAGGTGTACAATAGGCACCATGACTCAAGACATTTTAGTTTTCTAATGACTCTTTGTCTTTGTCCGATAGACATCTGTCTGAAGGAGAACATGACACTGGCAGATAAACTCTACAACCTGCAGCTCATCCAAGACTTCTGCAAAACCAACTTAAGCAGCTGCTGCCATTTCAGCCTCGAGGACATGCTCTACGCCTCCTCCACTATTAAGGTACGTTTCACCAGTATATATTAATGGACACAGTCACGCCTATCTCCGCCGTTCTAACTAATGGGCCAAAAAATGTGCTCTACTGGAGCAATCCAAAATGACAGCGAGTGGTCCCGGCCACAAGAAAATTGTGAAAAAACTAGGGCTGTCAAACGATTAATTTTTTTTAGTTGATTAATCGCATAGTAATGGTGAGTTAACTCACGATTAATCGCATTTTTAACATTCTATTTCAAATCCCCTCCCATTGAAGTTAAATGAGATTTTCAAATGTAATGACACATTGTTATTCATACCAAATGTACTTACTGTAAATCTGTTTGACTTGCTCACAACCTTCTACTTTTGGGTACAACCAACAAGAGCTGTTAATGAAAGGGAAAATGTAGGTACCCCAGCTTTAATTTTGCAAGTTTGGTTGCATTTCAGCATGTCTCCTCCTCTCCTCCGTGTGTCACACAACATCAGAAAATGGCCCCTGTGCGTGTATATATACGAGTGTATTATATGACCACGTTACCGCTGTCACCATCACACACGCACGTGTCCGCGGCATTCTGAGTGATATTATTATAAATGGGCGGGTCATTCGGACATGCGATTGCCTTCCAGCCCATTTCAGAACAGGTACTCCCATACTGCCAGCCGTTTTTGATGATTTTCACTGACAATGACAATCTGAAAATCCAAAACCATATTCTGAAAGAATGGACTGTCTACTTTCATCAGCAAAAATAATTTTGTTTCTAGCTTGTTTCGTTCCCCTGTAATCCCCAGTCGAGTAGAGGTAAGTTTTATTGAAATCACCAGAAAGTGCATCTAGCTGTTTTCAAACCATTCATAGAGCAATGCTGCCATCTGCTGGCTCGATAAAATATTGCCTCAAACCTTACATATTTGATACAATAGACATCTGGGAACGTGAAATAGCGGAAAACGCAATTGACGTGTTAACACGTCAATGGCAGTTAATGCGTTAATTATCTTTTAACGCGTTAATGAAAATGGTAATTAACGGTAATTAACGCAATAATTTTGACAGCCCTAGAAAAAACGCATCTGCGCATGCGTCAGCCGGCGCAACTCCATTCATTTGAAGGAGAGATTTAAAAAATTCACAGCAAGTAAACTAGAGTGGACCAAAAAAATCCACCCCCCTCAGCATTGACACACATGTGGAACGGAGCTTTGGGCCAAGAGCCAACTTTTGGTCCATCCTGTAAAGACGTTTTTGAGAGGTCTCTAATTCTACTTCTGGGTCCACCCCCATCGGCCCGGGGTGGTATTGCAAGTATGTCCACCCCATGGCTAATAAAATGAATCTGAATGAATCTGAATGTCAGCGCATGTCATTTTGGCCACTTTTGAGCTGGGACCCTCCCCCACTGGTATGGACAGACGTGTTGCTAAGGTGGTTGCTAAGGCAAGCTGGAGTTCCACCACAAATGAAGGCATCTTATTGGTCGATCCTTACATAAACACCAGACCCATAGACAGCGTTCAACTATGGCCCAAAACAATGTGTTTGACACAAACTGAGCTAGTGGTTGTGTACTTAATGTAAGTCAATAGGGGAAAGAAAACTTTGTCCATGAGTACTTCCCCATGGGGAAGACAGTAGCTCAGTTGTAGAGCATTGGCCTTTGAGCCTGAATGTTGTGAGTTCGAGCCCACCACAAGACTTTCTCCACCGACTCCCACTGATGTCTGCTGTCATTGTGTCCTTGGGCAAGCCACTTAACCTCTGGGAACACCAGGTGCCACAGTGGAGCGGCTGTGGTTGTAAAGTGCCAAACTGCCGTTGTGTCCCTAAGCAAGACAACCCCATTGCCTAGAATGAGTCTGTGTGTGTGAATGGTTGGTGGTGGTGGGAGGGGTCGATGGCACATACTGGTTGCCTCGCTTCTGTCAGTGTGCCCCAGGGCAGCTGTGGCTACAGTAGGAGTTTATCACCACCGTGTTTGGAGTGAAAGAATAATGATATGAAGCGTCTTTGAGTGTCCAAAAAAGCGCTGTATTAGACAGATGCATTATTATTATTATTATTATTATTATTATTATGGGGCTACCATATTGAGTTAGCATTGACTGTCTATATTTATGTCTATGGTCAGTAAACATCATGCTTCACAATGAAACAAGGCAAGTTAATTTGTATAGCACGAGTCATACACAAGGCAAAGTGCAAATAATCACAGTTGTAGTAGTTCACTAAACAAACAACCGGTTCCTCTGCATGAATTAGGATGAAGAAAAATATTCAAACCCAGAATTACAGGTCAGTGACAGAACATCTGCCATTCAAGCTTTATGCTCAAATTCAAAATGTGCTGCTTTTGCTTTTTTGACAAACTGCAAAGAAGGTTTTTGCTGATGCCCAAAGAAGTCTGATGAAAATGCAACGTGACATAAGTGAGAAAATGAAAATGCATCATTTTTATTAGAAACAGACTTCTGTGTCTAGCCAGATCCCATCAGACCTCTGAAGCTAAACAGGGCAGGGCCTGTTTAGTGCTGGGAGACCTCTGGGAACAGCAGGTGCCACAGTGGGGCGGCTGCGGCTGTAAAGTTCAAAACTGTGGTTGTGTCCATGGGCAAGACACATCCCCACATTAGAATGAGTCTAGTGTGTGTGTGTGTGAATGGTTGGTGGTGGTGGGAGGGGCCGATGGCACAGACTGGTTGCTTCGATTCTGTCAGTGTGCCTCAGGGCAGCTGAGGCTACAGTAGTAGTTTATCACCACTGTGTTTAGAGAAAAAGAATAATGACATAAAGTGCTGTTTAAAACCAATCAATTATTATTATTATTATTATTCACTTGACACACATTTTACAGCTGTTGCGGTGTTGTGCTGACGTCGTTGTCCTAAGGGATTATTCAGTTCTCACCGGGCAGATTTATGGCCGCTCAGCTGTGCAGGCAGAACCAACCAAACCGTTTAATTTCTGTAACCTTGACCCACTTTCAGACGGGCACATCCAGAGTAGATGTGTTTTGTGGTGCAGACGCGCTAATGGAAAAAACCTCATAGATTTTGCACCAAACCAGGCACAGAAGTCAGGTGCCAGTGTGGATCGAAACACAAAATGGGTTAGAATGAGTTTGTCAGCGATTATAATACTAAAGTAAACCTCTATTTCAAATGTGTATTTATAGTTTGGATGTTAGGCTTGCTCACAATCGCACAAGGAGGCTTCAGATTTCTTTATAACTGATGTTTACGGATCACTTTCTTTACGACAGTTCTAGCAAACTAAAAAACTTGCAATAATACATACATAATAATAATACAAAATGGTACAAATTAGGAAATATTACATAATGAATCGCACACACCATGTTGGCCTTCTGTCGTACAACCCAGTGGACTGCAACTTTAATCTTATTTATAAAACTTTACTCTGCTTTGTTGGTAAACCAGAATTAGTATTCTCAAAAGCTATAAAAACAAACATTTGAATATTCAGAATCAGAATCAGAATCAGAATCATTTTTATTGCCAACGTAAGTAACAGGAGGTCACAGACTTGGAAATTGCTTTGGCTCAGTGCAACAGTCAAAAAGAGATAATAAAAATAAGAATAAAAAACACTTCTAAAGAATAAATTTAAAATAGAGTTACAGTTACTATTTACAATATACAAGTGCACATGGTGCACACAATGTAAGGTGACAGCAGTACAGTAAAGTAAAGTGACGTATGATGGGCAGTAAAGTGACTTTATAAAGGGCGGGGGGACAGGTTAAGAAGTGTTCAAGAGTCCAACAGCAGAGGGGAAGAAACTGTTCTTGTGGCGGGAGGTTCTAGTCCTGATGGACCGCAGTCTCCTGCCTGAGGGGAGTGGTTGGAATAGTCCATGTGCAGGGTGAGAGGGGTCGGCTGTGATACGACCAGCCCGGCCTCGAGCTCGGGCGACGTACAGGTCCTGCAGCGATGGAAGGCTGCGGCCGATCACTTCCTCTGCAGAGCGCACAATGCGCTGTAGTCTCTGTTTGTCCCTGACTGTGGCTCCAGCGAACCACACGGTGACGGAGGAGGTGAGGATGGACTCGATGATGGCCGTGTAGAACTGCACCAACATCTGTGCAGGCAGCTTGGCTTTCCTGAGCTGCCGCAGGAAGTACATCCTCTGCTGGGCCTTCTTGATGAGGGAGCTGATGGTCGGCTCCCACTTGAGGTCCTGGGTGATGGTGGTGCCCAGGAAACGGAAGGACTCCACAGAGGTGATGGGGGAGTCCATGACGGAGGGTGGGGGCGGGGGGACAGTGCTCTTCCTGAAGTCCACAATCATCTCCACTGTCTTCTGGGCGTTCAGCTCCAGGTTGTTACCACTGCACCAGGACACCAGCCGGTCCAACTCCCTCCTGTAGGCGGACTCATCGTTGTTGGAGATGAGTCCAATGAGGGTGGTGTCGTCCGCGAACTTGATCAGCTTCACGGAGTCGTGGCTGGAGGTGCAGTGGTTGGTGTACAGGGAGAAGAGCAGGGGAGAAAGAACACAGCCCTGTGGGGCTCCTGTATTTATAATCCGAGAGTCCGAGACATTCTTCCCCAGACGCACTCGCTGCTTCCTGTCCGTCAGGAAGTCAGTGATCCACCTGCAGGTGGAATCGGGCACGTTGAGCTGGGAGAGCTTGTCCTGGAGCAGGGATGGCAGGATTGTGTTGAAGGCAGAGCTGAAGTCCACGAACAGGACCCTGGCGTAGGTCCCCGGGGAGTCCAGGTGCTGTAGGATGTGGTGGAGGGCCAGGTTAATGGCGTCGTCTACAGATCTGTTATTACTCTAAATAAATCAACTCTTCTATACAAATTTTAATCAACTACGGGAAAGCAAATATAAAAATGTACAAAACGAAATAATCTTTCTGATCTTCTCACATTCATTTCTTTTCACATTATTTTGACCAATTTTGTGATATTGGAATATTTCCCAAGGCACCAAACAACATCTTAAGGCCCACTAATGTACCGCGGCCCACTGGCTGAAAAACACTGAT